TCACATAAATGTAATCAAATTGGTCTTTGGCAGAAAAACAAAGGCAATACAATATAGCAAAGATTTGCTGCCTTTTCAACCAAATGTTGTTGGAACAACTAGACAACCACATGCCAAAAATAAATCTAGGGACACACTTTCAACCTGCCGCAACCATTAATTCAAAATGGATCAGACCTAAATGTAAAACTTAAAATGCAAATGTGAAGTGACAGTCACTTTAAAAGACAGTTTGGCAGCATCTTACAAAACATACTCTTTACCATAAGACCCAAATGAGTTATGTCCACATTAAAACCCTGCATGTGAATGTTTATAGCAACTTTAGTCATAATTGCCAAAACTGGAACCAACATAAATAGCTTAGGTGAGGGGATAAACAAAGTATGGTACATCAAGATGATGAAATATTATTCACTCCTAAAAAGAAATTAGCTATAAAATCACCAAAACGGAATTTAAATGCATATTTTGGTGTGAAAGAATCCAATGTAAAACAGCTAAATATTCTACGATTGCAACTATGTATTTCTGGAAAAGACAAACTATGGAGGCATTAAAAGATGAGTGGTTGCACGGGGTTGGGGGCAGGAGTTATGTATAGATGGTACACAGAGAAATTTCACTATAGTGAGACTACTCTATGATAACTACAGTGATGGATGTATATCATTGTACACTTGTGAAAACTCATAGAATGTATAATACCATGCATGGGTCATAATGTAAATTATGGGTTTTGAATGATAATGAGTGTCAATGTAGTTTTTATTGATGCTAATACACATACTACTGTGTTTACAAGGTTTCAATAGTGGGAGAGGTCGTGTGTATGTGGGGGCTTGAGGGTATATGGAAATCTTTACCTTTTGCTCCATTTTGCTATGAATCTAATATTTAAAGTCTTAAAAAGTGTAGGAAAGAAAACAATGCATGGGTAATAAAATTCCTTTGATACTTTGAATGTGAGGAAAAGTTCATATTCTGCCCTCAAACTTGATAACTCTCCTGGGAGTAGAATTCTGTGTTTAAAATCATTACCCCAAGAATTGTGAATAATTTGCCTCTTTGTTCTAAGTTTTATTGTTTCTATGAAGTCCCAACACATCTGGATTACAGCTTGTTTGTAAGATAATTTTTGTTAAGTGGGTTTGGCATACTTTCACCTCACCCGTTAGCTTCCACACTCTATAATTTCTCTTAATCTGGAAATTCAATGTTTTTAATCTTTGGAATATCTTGAATTATTTAGTTGTTTTTGTCTTTTTCTGTTTTTCCTGAAATTTTAATATTTTTATTTAGATATTTGACTTTGTCGATGAGTCATACGACTCTTTCCTTTTCCACCTTTTTAAATGTTACTCTGTCACTTGATTTCAAATTCTTTATCTTCCTAGATCTATTAATAGTTTTTTAAAAATTGCAGTTTTGAAATTCTCGGGTGCTTTATTTTTGCCATTTTGGTCTTTCATGTTACAGTCTTTCCTTGGATGACAGTTTAATACGGGTTTTCTGCTCATGTTTAACTGGGGACTGGTTAGACTTGGTGAGTTTTCTACTTGGGGTGTGTTGGCTGTGCATTTCTCTGTAACATAACTTGATTGGACTTGCTTTTTGGGGGATCTCTGATAAGTGTCCTTAGGGCTTTTGCCTTGGCAGAAGGCTGTTAGACACTATTTTGGGGGGGCCAAGTTTGGGGAGGCAGATGGTTTTCAGTGTCTGTATGTTTGTGTGTGTGTTTCTCATGTGATCAATGATATCGTTATAACTATAATCCTCCCCATAGTGAATCACAAATGTCAAAACATTTTGTGCAATACCCTCTCTCATTCATTAACTTTCTTGTCTAAAATAATCTTGCTAGTTGCTTTGTATTTGTTCCACCTGTTCTTTTTCTCACTTTTCTGTTGGCCTTTGGATTAATTTACTATGTTTTATGATTTCATTTTATCAACACTATTGATTTTTTTAAACTGAAATTTTATTTAGCAATTGACTTGAGATTAGAATATACATCTGATGACAGTCTCCTTCAAATAATATTAGTTATGGGCACCCAATAGGAGATCACAAGAGAGGAGCCTGCATGTGTTTGTGAACTCCTTTTGTGACTGTGGGTCCCAGAGGTTTTATATTCTTTCAGTAGCTTCCGTTTGCTCTTTACCAATTTTTGAAGTTTTTAGCTTTCTTCTTCTTACCTGACTGCATGGCACCCAATGTCTCTTCCTCTTGTGCTCTGACTTACGTGCGCTGGTAATCGCATCTTCTCTCCCTTCAGGGTGGGGAGACATGTCTGTCTTAGGTTTAAGGCTCCTAGGTTGTCCTGTGACTTCAGCTCTGAAGGGTTGAAGAAAAGATTATACTTTTATAGTTTATTTGCATTTTCTTTTGTTCAGATATAAGCACTACTTTTTGCAATTTTCTGTATCCTAGACAAAAGTAGAAACCCAGGCTGGGTGCAGTGGCTCACTCCTGTAATCCCAGCACTTTGGGAGGCCTAGGCAGGAGGAGTGTTTGAACCCAGGAATTTGAGACCAACCTGTGTAACATAATAAGATCTTCTATCTAGAAAAAATAAAAAATTATTAGCCAGGCATGGTAACATGAACTTGTGTACTCAGCTTCTTGGGAGGCTGAGGTAGGAGGATTGCTTGAGGCCAGGAGATAAAGGCTGCAGTGAGCTGTGTTCATACCACTCCTCTCTAGCCTGGGTGACAGAGTGAGACTCTGTCTCAAAAAAAAAAGTCATCAATATTCTTGATTAAAATGTTTAGACTTTAATTTTTTACTAAGTATACCTTTTTCTTTTTTTTGAGATGGAATTTTGCTCTTGTCACCCAGGAGTGCAATGGTGCGATCTCTGCTCAGTGCAACCTTTGCCTCCTCTATTCAGGCAATTCTTCTGCCTCAGCCTCCCGAGTAACTTGAATTGCCTGCATCTGCCACCACACCCGGCTAATTTTTGTAGTTTTAGTAGAGACGGGGTTTCACCATGTTGGCCAGCCTGGTCTCGAACTCCTGACCTTAGGTGATCCACCTGCCTCGGTCTCCCAAAGTGCTGGGATTACAGGCGTGAGCCATCGTGCCCAGCCAAGCATACATTTTTTGAACTGACTGCTAAGAAAGGTTTTCTTGCAAAAAATATGAAAATCTCATTTGTAATATTAGCCTATTTAATAACAAATTCAGACTAGTCTAAGATTGTCCAGCCTCCATTTTCTGTATATATTTCAAATGTACTTAACCTATAATTGTTCATGTTTCCCTTTGACACTGGTGACTGGAATCCTAAAGGCTTCATGCAATTTGCAGGCTTTTACACTCTTGGCTAGGACAGTACCTGGTGGCACTGTGGGTGGGAACACAGCATCAAGTATGTTTCATACCACTACCTGAGATAGGAAGTACTTGTTTCTATGGACTCCTCTCAATATGGCACGTGTGAGTACTTTTGAGGCAATCCAGGGATGTGTTTGATATTTTGCCCCTCTGGAGTGACTCAGAAAGACTCAAAGTTATTTTTAAGATTTAACCATATGTTAAAGAGGACTTCGTTTATTGTACATACATCTCAATCACAAACAACTACATGTGGTACGGATGTTGGAAGTACAAAACAAAGGTTTACCAACACTCATCACAACTTATTTGAATGTAACTACTGTTCATAGTAGTCTTTTAAGAATACCTACATATATGTTGTTTTATGTAGTATATAAAACTAGAAGGTATAAACTGGGACTCTTGTGGTCAAATTAACACTCTATGCATATCTGGTTATATTTTGTTCACTAATTTTACAAATCACTACAGTTGGAATTTTGTAACCTTCAGTGTAATAAAACAGCTTTGGCAAGGGGTGCTTGATGCCATATTCATATTTGTTGCCTTCCTGCAATCCTTAGATGGATATTCTTTCTAAAATAAGTCTTGGCTGGGCATGGTGGATCCAGTCTGTGCGACAGAGCAAGACTCTGTCTCAAAAAAAAAAAAAAAAAAAAAGTCTACTAAATGTCTCAAACCTCCATAACGTTGCATGGCACCTTTTGATTGAAACATAATCCCCCTTGTTCAATTTTATTATACTGTTGGAGATCAAGCCATTTCCTCTGATAGGCCTTCCTGATGCCCTCACATAGAATTAAGTATTTTATCCACTGAGAATGGATAAAATATCTACCTCTAGACATTCTTCTAGTGCTGCATCTAGCAGGTTCTGTTACAAACTGCTTGTTAGATGCCAGCCTCCCCTTCTAGACCTGAGTTCCTTGAGGGCATAATACATGTGTCATTTACCTTTATATATCTGGTACTTAAAATAGAACTTGGAGACAGGATAGGTACCCTGAGTATTGTTCAGCTGAACTGGATTATTACTTGGTTATTTTAATGGCTCTGCTTAAAATGCTAAAAATTGTTTTCTTTATTTTTACTAAATGTATATGTTTACACTTTTTCTCACAATGAAAGACTAAATGTTCCATGCTTATAAACAAAATGTAAATAATTAAAAGAGATTGATATTTTAATTATTAAAACAAGAGAACTATGACCTGCAAATGACCTGATATAAATACAAGATATGAGATTAAGATTAAGATAAATAAGATTAGATATATATTTATCAATAGTTATGATAATCCTCAGCTATACCTTCAGGCATTTTATAAACATGTTTGGAAAGGTAACTTATAAGCACAGGAAACCAAGTATTACATTTATTTTACACCTAGAACTACTGAGGAATCTCAAAACTCATATGATTGCACTATTCCTATTCACTATTTGTTTTGCTTCATATGATGATTGCAGTATTCCTATTCACTGTTTTGCTTTTAGCTAATGGGGATGTTATAGCTCAATCAGTAGCTGATTAAATAGTTTGAGCCCTCTAGGCTCTTCCTTTGTTTGCAATTGATTATGAAATAAAAGCCTTAGTTTTACTTAAAATAGTGTTTTAGCTTAATTTTTTTTTTTTGTTGTTGTTGTTTCTACACCAGTGTACTGACTATGACTTGGAATTTGGAACTGAGTGTTTGCAATTGGCCCTAAAATACTGTCGCACTAAAGCCAAACTTGTAGAAGGATCACCAGACCTCTGGAAGGTAAGAGGGATGATACCTTGCTTGGGTTCTTTTCTGTGCTTTTATGTGTTTGTGTGGGTGTACATTGAAAACCAGTAGTGCATTGAGTGGGAGTTAAGGGAATCTCACGGGTTTACGGAATCATCAGTGTGTAGTATCCCTTCTATTGCTTGGCTTCAAGAAAATTCACTTGGAGATAATTTACTCAGACACATCTCATTTTAACCTGTGATTGGTTTATTCACTTTTTTCTTTTTCTTCCTCTCTGTAGATAGTTTTATTAGTCTGTTCTCACATTGATATAAAGAAATACCTGAGATTGAGTAATTTATAAAGGAAAGAGGTTTAATTGGCTCATGGTTCTGCAAGCAGTACAGGAAGCATAGCAGCTTCTGCTTCTGGGGAGGCCTCAGGAGGCTTCCAATCATGGCAGAAGGCAAAGGAGGAGTAAGACACTTTGAGGCCTCACTCACTTGCAGAACAGCTCCAAAGCGGAAATCTGCCCCCATGATCCAATCACCCCCATCAGGTCTTACCTGCATTGTTAGAGATTACAATTCCGCATGAGATTTGGGCAGGGACACAGATCCAAACCATATCAATAGTCTTTTTTTTTTTCTTCACTCAGTTGGATTAAAGCTACACCTTTGCCTGCAGTATCAACATTTCCTTTCAGGCCCTGGGTGGTTGTTCCAACTTAACTGGGTTAAAAGGATATCTGCAACAGTTCTGACCTAGTGGGGGTAGTGGCTGGATCCACTCTCTGTCCCACTGTGAGGAATTAGACTGTTTCCTGTGGCAGGGCCCAGCTCCTTTAATGGCTAAATTACTTTTTTTTTTTTTTTTACGGCGTTTCACTCTTCTTGCCCAGACTGGAGGGCAATGGTGCTGTCTCACTTCATTGCAACCTCCACCTCCTGATTTCAAGCGATTCTCCTGTCTCAGCCTCCCAAGTAGCTGGGATTATAGGTGCCTACCACCACACCTGGCTAATTTTTATATTTTTAGTAGAGATGGGGTTTCACCATGTTGGCCAGCCTAGTCTTGAACTCCTGACCTCAGGCTATCTGCCCACTTCGGCCTCCCAAAGTACTGGGATTACAGGTGTGAGCCACCACGCCTGGCCTAACCTCTTTTGGAGGGAATAGAGTACTTACTGCAAACAAGATAATGGCACTATCATACTGCAGCTTCTTATCAAGGCCAGGGATGGTTTAGAGTGTGATTCTTTGTTTCATTAGTTGAATTGAACAGGACATTTGGAAATAAGAGTCTGGAAATAAGAAATAAGTACATTTGGAAATAAGATTATTTCATAATCTTGAAATACATACTGCTGCGTTTGAAATATTGCTTGTAGTCTTTGGAAATATTATGAAACATCCATCAAAATCTGATTAGTAAAGATTCATTCTAATTGAGTCTATAAGCATATTTCCTTACTGATTTTTAAAACAGAAAGCCCTCTAAGTTGATCAGTTATTTTGCACAACAATGTGATCAGCCTCACTGCATGCTAAGATTGTCTCAGGATAATCTTAAATATTTAAAATGTTGAATTCTAAGACTCCAAAATATTGACATGTTTGAATTATTGCCTGGTAGAGAAAATTTATGCGGTAGAGAAAATTCATGCAGTATTACTTTTCATTTAAGGACAACCTAAAATGCCTGCCTGCTGGGTTGATGACAACCCAGCAGGCAAACGTTTTATTCATCCTTTTCTATATATGGCTCAGTGATATTAATTATGAGGATTTTTGGCAATTACCAATTAGATGCTTCATTAAAGATCCTGACCCACATTTCTTTGGAACTCCTTTGGCTGTCTGGCAGGCCTAATTTGAAGACCAAGAAAAAATGTGAAAACTCTAAGGTGTTTTATTGCTACTAACATGTCAATAATCCCTCGTCTCACTTTTGACATCTTTGGGGCTATGATTATTTACCTCTTGTGCATGTTCAGAGCCTTCATCACGTTTGTAAAGCACTATTGAGATCTATGGATGAAAAGGAAGCAGCACATTGCTCTCTGAATGTTACATTCCATCTTCAGTGTTTTCTTTTTGGTGAGGTGTTCATATTTCTCTGTTCTCTCCAGCAAGAGTGTTAGTCCTCAGGTACGTCTTGATGCTCTGCTCCCCTTTTATGTGCAACAAATATTAGTGCAGGCTAACCTGATTGGCCTTTCCACACAGTGCTTCTCTTGGTTCCACTGGTGAATCCCTTTTTAGGGATGTTGTTATGGGTTCAACTGTCCCCTAAAAAGGTATGTTCAAGTCCTAATCTGTGGCACCTGTGAATGTGACCTTAGTTTGAAATAGTGTCTTTGCAGATATAATCAAGTTAAGATGAGGTCCTGCTGGAGTAGTGTAGGCCCTAAAGCCAACATGACTAATATCTGTACAAGAATAGAAGAGACACAGATATAGGGAGAAGGCCATGTGATGATGGAGGTGGATATTGGAGTGATGCATCTGCAAGCCAGGGGTTGCCAGCCATCACTGGAAGCTAGGAAGAGGCTAGAAAGGATTCTTCCCAAAAGCCTTCAGAGGATCCTACTTGTATCTTGATTTGAGATGTCTAATCTCCAGACTGTGAGAGAATATAAGTATTTCTGTTTTTTGTTTGTTTGTTTGTTTGTTTGTTTTTAGACTGAGTCTTGCTCTGTAACCAGGCTGGAGTGCAGTGGCACAATCTTGGCTCACTGCAACCTCCGACTCTTTGGTTCAAGTGATTCCCTTGCCTCAGCCTCCCAAGTAGCTGGGACTACAGGTGCGCACCACCATGCCTAGCTAATTTTTGTATTTTTAGTAGAGACGGGGTTTCACCATGTTGGCCAGAATGGTCTTGATCTCCTGACCTTGTGATCCACCCATCTCGGCCTCCTGAAGTGCTGGGGTTACAGGCGTGAGCCACCGCACCCAGCCAAATTTCTGTTGTTTGAAGCCTGCCAATTTGTAGTAATTCACTGTAGCAGGCCTGGGAAACACATGCCGAAAGGGCGAGGTCCCCTAGAAATCAGCCTCATAGCATCACTTTCGACATGGAACGGAAGTAGAGAACTTTACTCTTATGAATGAGATTGGAATAATGCCGTGCTTCAAAGGGAGCTTGGACCCTAAAAGGCCTGTCATGCTCTGGATTGGGGAAAATGTCTTACAGATAGACGTTATGAGGGTTTTTGGTTTGTTTGTTTTTTAGTATCACATTTTTTTTTCCTGTTAAGTGAGGTGATACTAGAATGCAAATATTGCAGGTTTTTTTCAGGGTCCCTATTTTCTCTTTCTGCCTCTTGTCTCATCTTTGATTTCTCTTTTTGGTATTTTCATAGCTAATTATTTAACCCCTTTTGATAACATTGTAAGATTTGTCATTAAGCTTTTACTTTAATTTTGTAATCTTATTTTGTATGACGAGAGTATTTGTTTTACACAACAGGGGAGTTTATGCTTTGAAATTAGTGTCCTAATTCTACACTATTTCCAAAGATGCTGGACTCAGATGGCATGGCCATGTACTTGAAACATGATTCAAAATCTGACAGTAAAATACACATTTGGACATGGTGGAGGCATTTTATTACCATGGAACAGCGTAAGGCAAAGGAGGATTCTGAAACACAGAGCAATATACCTTCCCTTTCCCCTCAAAAGTCAGGGAGTTCACTTCACACTGGTTTAGAGAGTGACTTGAAATTTCTGAGGAATGCATGTGGTACTAGAATTTCAGTAGTAGAATTTCAGTTGCCACCAGAAGTCCCAGGAGGATTATTTTGTATTTTATTTTATTTAAATAATTTATGTTTTTGAGATGGAGTCTTGCTCTGTCACCCAGGCTGGAGTGCAGTGGCAAGATCTCGGCTCACTGCAACCTCTGCCTCCTGGGTTCAAGTGATTCTTCTGCCTCAGCCTCCTGAATAGCTAGGACTATAGGTGCATGCCACCATGCATGGCTGATTTTTGTATTTTTAGTAGAGACGGGGTCTCACTGTGTTGGCCAAGCTGGTCTGTATTTTGTATTTTATAAATATGTTTTGGTAAAAGTAAAAAGTAAACATTCTGGCTTGATGTCACCTTCCTGTGCTAGCTCTTCTGGGGTCTGGAGATAATATCAGTATTTTTTTCTTTCAAATACCATGCAGGGTAGAAAATGACCACAGTACCCCACTCCCCCTCAGGGTGACAGGCACTGAGGAGTACAGAACTGGTTCTGGGAGTAGGGGTCAGCTGTCATGCTTCCCTGGAGTAATCTTGCTTTGACAGGCCCAAGTAAACACTCCTATTTTGATGAGATTTCATCTAGTCTGCGTAACAACTTGAGTCCCTTTAATTTAGAGTTGTACCATATTTTTGACCCTGTATACTTTTAATTAGCTTGGTCTCTTACTACACTGTACAGGCTTAATTGAACAGATGTCTTGTTTCTAAATGTCAAAACTGTCTTTAAGCCATACAAGGTTGATAACCAGTTACTGAAGAAATTTAACCACTGTGTTCCATTGTCTGAATGTGTTTTTTTAGGAGTTTCTGAAGTTTTTGTATAATCACAATATTATTGGAATGAATGACTTTTGAGGATTCGTTTTGTTGGGGAATACACTTTTTTTTTTTTTTTTTTTTTTTAGGTCCAAGTATTTCAGCATCTGTTTAAAAACAAAAGAAACAAAATAGTCTCTATTTGGTTTTTGTAACTTCAAAAACACAATATGGTGAAATTGTTTCTCTTCAGATATTTTTATATAGTTTTCCAGCATTTTATATAGGTGTCCAGAAAAGAATATTTTCTACACATACATGATTGGTAAGGAAATAAGTTCTGAAAAATCTATACCTAATAAACATTCTGTTATCTTTGAAATGTAGGTTTTGCCTATTTATTGTGAAGGGAGAGATGGGAGAACATTATGTGTCATCTTAAGTTATTGAAGATACTGGCCAACTGGCTGTGTCTGAAAGATTTTTTTTTTTAAACTATTTTATGTCTCAACACAGAAAGAACAACATGTAGACGTGATAGGAATGAGAAATTCCCACCATATTATTACCTTACCATGTCTATGAGATTGGAGTGTTTATCCTCCAGATTAGCTAACTACTAGATTTGTACAGAAACTTTGTTTAGTGAAGTGGGCTACTGCACTTCTATCCAAAATAGATTCCTCTGCTATTCCTTTATCCTAGCAGGTAAATCCTGGACCAAAACTATACCTTACCATCCAGAAATAAAGTAGCAGCCCACTTGGTAACACAGATAAAAAGTTGTTCAAGCAATTCAACCAATCTATTAAAATGTGAAATGCTATATAGTATCTTTTAAACAACACATGCCAACCCAAACCAGTGACTTTTGATGTACTTTTAGCCTTATTTTTTTCTACATAACTAACATACTTCAAAAGCAGTATGACTGGAAAATGTGGTAATTCTCAATTGATGGGTTATTCATTTTTTCCGTCCGTCTAACTTTTACAACAATATGGTTTGTCCTTATTTTAATTAAAAAAACCAACAGCCTGATAATGAGTATTGAAGTTCCTTTTATCCTGTTAGCATAATCAGTAGTCTTCCTTTGACCTTGCACAATACTCTATAATGAAAAATTACTTAAAAAAATCAGTCCTGTAGTGATGAGAAACAACTTCAATCCTCTAATTTGCTGGTTTTCAGACTGTGCTCACTAGAGCCTCAGGGGCCACCTGAAGAAGAGGAAAGATTCTGTACCTTTCACCTGTACAGGTGAAATTCCAACCCAACACCTGGCACTCACCTAGTTCAGCTCAGTTTTTCTCTATTTTGTTTGATTCTGCTTCTGTGTGCTATTTCAGCTGAGTTTAGGCATGGTGAGGTAATAATACGGTGGGAATTTCTCAAAATGGGTTTTTAGAACACTTGCATCATAAATACCTAGGTACTTGAGTGCAGTTTCTAGGACCTTATAAAAGCTTATTAATACTGTGTCTTTATTTACTGTGTATTTCAGCTCTGTGATATAGAATTCTGCAACACAGTGCACTTACATGTTCTGTACCTGAGCTCACTGGATGTGGGTCTGTGAAGTATCTGCCATAGGACAGACACATACATTACAAGGAACAGATTACAATTAGGAGGAGGCTGCATATTTTTAAGGAAAGATCATCATTGTTCTTAGGCACATAGTGGTACCCTATAGGCTCTTTTTATTTTATTGACATTTTAATAAAAATCTTACAAGGTGAATCGTACCTAGGTATATACAGATATATGTAATTCAGAAGACAGTCCCTCTTAACATAAATTGACCTTTCAGATTTTTTTCAGCTAATAATGCAACTTGGTGACTTTTTTTGTCATATGGAGACTTCTGCCCTACCTTTTTTTTTTTTTTCTAGTATAAAGCCTAATTTTTATGCAGTCATGTTAACACTGTTGTTTAAATGCTGCCACATTTTCTTTAAGTATAATACTTGAGTTACATTAAGATTTCAGTAACCACTGCCACATGATATCTTAATTTATTCAAAGATTTAAAAACAAATCAGCCATTTGTAGAAATAGAATATATTTTATGTGAATTTGCTGATGCTTTTCTAATCGAGAAAATGTCAGTATTACATGTTTATAGCTTCTGAAAAACCAAGAATTTCCCTGGGGGCATTATTTTATTGCCTGCACATTCCTTCCTGCTCTGTTAAGTCTAATGAAGTTTATCTGTCCTTTAGGTGACCTACAAACGAGATCTGTATGCGGCTGAATCGATTATTAAGGGTATGTTTGGCCTTATGACTGTCAGTTCCTGTGTTTCAAAAATGTAAGCCAGTTCGGAATTTCTCATGACGGTTTAAATCCCAGCAATCTTGAAAGCAGAAAAGCCTGTAGGCCACTAAGGTCTCTGATATGTTTTTTGAAAATAATTACATTTTATGTTGTTTCATGCTAGTGAAATAGCAGTTATTATGATACCACATTGATTTGAATTTTTATAAAGGAAATACTTTATTAACTTGAGGGAAGTATGGGACATTGATACTATTAGAAGGAAAATAGCAAAACCTGATTTTAATAATTTTGTAAAGATCTCACTTCATTTTAACTACGAAGAGGGCTGCCCTCTCCCGTTAACAATGTCGTATCAGTACATTAGACAGCATCTTCTATGTGAGAAACATTATTTTTCCTAAATGGAGAAATTAGTCTGGACAGGGTGATTTTTAAAGTTTCTTTTGGGTTCTGACAATGACTGCAATTTTGTAATTGTAGATATCTTAGGTGTGGTAACTCTTTTTTAGTTCTTTTTCATCTCTGACTCAAAGATCCCAGCTAAATAGAGGTAGTTGATTTAATAAGCAACAAGTATTTGTTATTTTGCTTAACACTGTGCAAGGAATGTAGTTAAGATGCACTAGGGACAGTCTTTCTGTATTTTTGTAGCCTGTTATTTAAGTCAGCTTTCTCAGTCTTGGCATTATCTTGGCATTTTAGCCTGGAAAATTCTAAGCTGTGTGGACTATTCTGTGCATTACAAGTGGTTTAGCAGCATGTCTGGCCTCTGCTCACAAGCTGCCAGAAGTACCCATCCCTCACTCCCCTTCCCCTGGTTTTGACAGTCAAAGATGTTTCCTGATATTGCCAAATGTTCCCTAGGGGGGAAAAAAAAATTTCCACTTAATAGAGAACCACTATTTTAAAATATGGACTCCTAGCAAAATCAGAGATGTTCACCCCAATCCTGAAATACATGTGATGCTTTACAGTGTGTTAGTAACTGATTTCTTTGAAAACAGATTATGGCTAGAACTGCATGCTCAGATTTTCATTGAGAGGTGAACTTCTAAATTTAAACTTTTTTGAAGTTAAAAAATGTACTGAATCTGCATTCTGAGTGCATCAATTTATTAAACAATTTTTGGAAACCCTATTTAACCATCTAAGGACTTCACATTCAGAAAATGAAAATCTTTTCTCTGATCATGACAATGTATTTGTGATTTGCCCTGAAGTTCTTTGTCCTTCAAGGATATTTTGTTTTAAACTATTAATGTACCATAACTTATGAATCTGTTTGTGTGTATGTAAACAGATCATTTATAGCTATAAATCAAAATGTTGACATATATTTACATATCAACCAAGCAGTGCGTAAACATTACTCTGGAAAAGTCAGCTGAACCATGATGTGGTTTTCATGTCCTCAGTACAAGGAAATATAAAACTCAGTTTGGTTTCTTCACAGAGCTTTGCATGTACTACGTAGGAAAGATAGAAATGATTTTTTTTTTGTTAACAATTAGTAGTTCAACTGAGAAATATAATTGTAATAATTGGCCTACATATTATCAGAGGCTTCTTAAAATGTAAAAACCTATACTGCAAGTGTTATTGCAGGAGCTATGACTTTGGAAATTGTTTGCAGAAATGGCTTTTATTTATGTAATAGGTTCTGGTCTGCTACTTTCATTTTTAAAGTATTTAAAGTGTTTCATTTTTAAAGTATTTAAAACATGTTCTACTTTTATTCTTAGGGAAGGTATTTACACAACTCATTTAGGTCAACAAAATTTTAGTTTCTTTATATTTTAGGGTTTGTGTATCTAATAACTTCCCAGGAGATTCTGATGCTTCTGGTACACTTCTAGGATCACTGCTCTGGGGCCTTTCTACTCTGTGAATGCCCTAGACCAGTAGCGTTGTGATTACCTGAGAACTAGAATCTCAGCCCCCACCTGATTCAATCAGAATCTACATTTTAACAGGAGCTCTGGTTGATTAGTTTGTACATTAAATTCCAGACATCTTCCTCTAGCTTGCTCCTCAGTCTTTTATAGGTTATTTATTTCTAAATAATATCTATATTGCAATAAGAGCTTTAAGTCTTACGATGCTCTCCCAGCTGCAAATGCTTGTTTGCTCACCTGAGGTTACCCCTTCCATTTATGACTTGTACTCAAGACTATCTCTGATAGTAGAAATGCCTCTCTGGGCATAGGAAAGAGAAAACTCCAAAATTTCAAAATATAATATAGCATATAGCATACTATGAGAGCTGTATATTTACCTGTAGGCATTTTCCTAATGTATTAATCAGGGTTTTTAGAGAAGCAGAACCAGTAGGATATAGAGCTATAGATAAGATGTATACGTAGATTTATTATGAGGGATTGGCTCATGTGATGATGAAGGCTAAGTCTCACGATCTGCCAGCTGCAAGCTGGAGGCCCAGGAAAGCCAGTGGTAGAGTTCCAGTACAAACCCAAAGGTGGGATTTTGGATTCCACCACAAGGTGAAACTTAAGATGCATAAATGTTTATGCTCAAAGCAGTAATAAAGGCTATAAAGCTTGTAAACCAGTTCAAGTTCAGGACTGATTTTGCCCACAAATTTATATAAAAACAATTGTTTATTATGGTTTTAAGAAAATTTTAGATTTCAGCATTGCCTGCAACGCTGTATGAACCTGTTTTAGATTGTGATTCAGTGAAGGTGGAAAGAATGTCTAATTTTTATGTTGCATCCCCTAACATTTACTTGAGTTGAATTGCATAATAGGCTAACAGATGCAGCTGCAGTTTTTCCCTAGAATCTAAGGGAATTTATGGCCCTTCTTTCCTGCCTTACCACTCTGCCTGCTCCTGACACATGCTTATAGGGAACCAGAATATCTATCACTATATCATTTTTTTTTCCTTTTAAACATAGAAATGGTATAGTATTTTTGATCATTCTTTGTCAAGATTTAAAACCAAGAGTTGGAGGACATTGAACTTATGCTAGGTGCCTTATGTTATCTCACTTATTCTTTACAATAATGCTGTAAGATATATACTATTGCTCTCATTTTGCAGGTGGGAAAACTGACCTAGGTTACTTTCCTCTGGGTCACACAGTTAGTAAGAGTAAGATCCATTATTTAAGCTCAGGGTCTTCCATTGTCCTTAAGTGTTGACTCTACAAAAATCGTAGGACGATGTCCATTTGTACCTCTGAATTCACATATGCCTGCTCCCCTGCTGCCTGGCTAAAGCAGATGCTGGATTCAAGGAGCTCTTCCTCATTGGGTGAGTACATCAGTGGCTTATAAAGTTCAGCCTTCCTATTCTGATTCCTGAGTTGAAAAAACATCTAACCTTCCAGACCTGGTGTGATTAGAATGATCCTATTAAGTAAGACAGAAAAATTTTCTATCCCAGTGGTTTATTAAGCACAAGTACCAGTCCTTCTAGAAGAGTGTTGTTTACTTCAGGGCATCACAGGTGTGGTGAAAAGCATATAATGGTTGTAATGACAGATTTGTAGACATGCTCAGGAAAAATAATAAAATTCCCAATCAAAATAATTGTTTTAAAATGATATTGGTGTACTGTTTAATTGTTTTTTTTTTTTTTTTTTTTCTGTTGTTGTTAATTCGATAGTTGATGTTCATTTTCTAGACAACAGATTTCCTTTCCAGGATGGAACTATTTGTTCTGTGATGAGTGCTCATGTTTTTTTTTTTTTTTTTTTTTTTTAAGTGTCAATTCCTGAGCTGTTTTTTTCTCTCAAATAACAATTATTGCTGGTCAACAAATTGTATTCTATTAAAGTAACTATTTCGTTGTTTACTTAGTTTGTTTTCAGGTGCTAGAAAACATTTCTAGGATAAATATCATGTCTCATGTTTTGCAAGAACATTTTGTACTCCAAAATTTACTTGTCACCAAAGTAGCTTGTGTGTTTTGGTCCATCTTAATTTATGTTCAAGTCAACATCTTTGGTTTAGTATGGGAATTCTGATGTTGGGAGAAAAATGGATGTTCTTTCATTGGTATTTGGTGTAGGTTTGCTAACTTCAAGGCATGTTTTGACTAAGATCTCCAAATTGTGGTAGATAGAAAGTCTCCAAATCTGATTTTTATCTTATGTTTTTGGATAATTTTAAAGCTTAATTTATGTTAGCATCAATATGTTTATATGGATTTCCATTTACAGTAAACTGTTTGAAAAAACATGTATAGAAAGTAGTAGTTTCATTTGTCTTTCAGAGTCTATTAAAATATAATTAAAAATCTGTTAAAACTATATAAAACAAAGGATTCATAATAATCCCTTTTCTTAGGTAGAGGATTTGGTTGTTCTTTAATGTTTGACTCATTCAGGCTTCTACTGTGAGTGAAATTTAAAACAATTTTCTAGGGAGTAGTATGATTAATTGGTACAACAAGACACTGTACTGACTGATAAGTTTGTAAATATCCACTTAACAAAGAGGTATTGTAGTTTTGTCGCCCAAGCTGGTTGAGCCCACCCAAGTCTGCTCTGCATGCTCAGATGAACCCAAATGATTAAAGTGGTAACAGATGCCAGTGGTAACATACTTTATATAGATTTACATAAGCCATACAAACAGTTCCAACCCACACTTGATTTAGTATGCTGACCGTATCCTGGCATATGAAGGTCAATATTCTAAGAGTTTCTAAGAAAAGCCCCTGTGGAATTTCTAAATAAAATATTGCATTTATTTTCTACCTCCATTCTTCAGCTACTTAATATATTTAATTTTGTGGCTAAAGAGTACTTTTAAAGTTTTATTTTATTCTTTCTTGGTTATGTTTGTACAAACCCAAGTAAGCTTGTGCTACAAAATTGCCTCATGGTGCCTCTTTTCATATATGGTGGTGTGTATTGAAAAAGAGGGAAATTAGGTAAAATTGGAAATCCATTTCATCCCTTTTGGTTTTAACTGGCTTTAGTTAATCTTATTTCCAGTCATTATGTAATGTTTTCCATT